CATTGCCCAGGCTCTCAATGAACGTTTAGCCAAGCGAAAAGACATACATTTTTAGAAAAAAGTAGAACAGATTTTATTTTAGCAAAATTAGTTTTTGATTCATAATCTTACTTTCGTTAATCGAAATAGCAGACACAAACGTCTGCCTCTCCATAAAACAGTATCTGAATTCGTTTTTGTTTTGTTTGTTTGGTTTTTTTTTTTGGTCATTGATTCAACTTTTTATTTAAGCAAAATGAACAGCTGGAATTAAATCGTTTGTCATAATTTGAGTTTATATACCGTTAACCAGTTGCTTCAGGGCAAAGTTGTGTGTGTTTTTCTTCGTCACACGTGGCTCGAAGTAGGAAGCTGAAGTTATGCGTGGCGGACAAGCAGTTACGAGCACAATTTACTTCAATCTCGTCATGTCAAAGCCTGTAGAGCACATAATTGGGATACCACATTCACCTGTATTTTTGGCGCCAATACCTTGGCGTATCAACCACGCAAGCTATCATGAATAGCCACCAGAGAATTAAAGTGGAAGGTGGCGCAGGATGGCACGATTAAATCCTAAATACGGTGACACTTATTGCAGCCTTTTTCCTACCCAAGTGGGTTCGTGTCTTTGGAGTGACACTTCAAACCGTGAGCGAGACGTTAAAAACAGGATACATTTTTCTGTAAAGAGGATCACAAAAATCTGAAGAGTTAAGCTAACATTGAGAAACGTTTGTAAACATTTTGGGCTGGAAAGACAGGCTGGTGTTTAGCAAACTGTATGGGCGTTTTTAATAGCTTTAATTGCTCGATACTTCACTCTGAAGCTATGAGGTAAATGCAACGAAAAATTCATACTTTAGTAGATAAAATACTGGCACTAACATATTTGTTTTTTTTTAAAGACTGAAATATGAATTTGTTTAGTTTTCACCCTTCTATATAAATCATATATTGCAAACTGGTGGAAAGAAAATGAAGTCCAGTTTTTATTCTCGAGCAGTGAATACGTTCAACTTTATTGTTTTGTTTATTTTGGCAAGTTTGTTTCATAACGTTCCATTGACTTGTCAATGTAATTCATAGTTTGGTCATCTAATCTATGATATGCGGCTTTGTCCTTTGATATAATGTATTTTCTCATGTGTTAAGTGATTAGAATAAACGTTGTGGCGTCTTCTGTCTTGACAGATTCAGAGAAACCAATTCACTGGCCATCAGGGAAGGATAGTCATACCCGAGGAAAGGACACATTTAACACCGTGTCTTTCCTCTTTATCCCGTTTATAATAGCACCAATATTTAGCCTCAAGGATGAAAAAGGCCTGAAAGGGTAAATAAAGATTATTGTCCGTAATTGTCCCCAACAAAAAAGAGTTCCAAAGAAAATATGGTTCTGGCTCAGGGATATATCCTTAGGAAATACCGTAGTCTAACTTTAAAAAAGTGTTATTGGCTTCGGTACCATCGTAGAAGTTAATATCAATGGAGTTGTGCGATTCTGAGAACCATTTGCTTCAGCTCTGTTCGTCTAATTACATAAAGCATTGAAGCCATTATGTTGCGGTATGAAAAATATTCTCTTTTCTTGAACACTCGTGCTCCCATGAATCACAAGGTCTAATCGCAAACTGTTGCTTATTTCGAAACATGAGCCATGAGAAAAAAAACTGGATCCGTACTGTTCAACCATCAGCATACAAGGATATTGATTCGTTTGTCGCCGGCCCCGACACCGATCGTTGGCACTACAGGCGTCCCTGTCCAGCAATTACTTCGCGCCGAAACCATAGTGATTGCTCCATTGTAAATTGGGTAAAGTTCCCTCTAGCCTTGCGCCTGCGGATGGCTGAATTTCATGAGCTCAGCGTCAATTCGCACAAAAGTTTCAATTTGACCGAAGTGGAAAGCCCCCTTGCACGTGCAATCAATGTAACGGCTCCACGAACAGTCTCTTTGTGAAGTGAAAGGTTTATTTCAAGAACTCAGGGATTACCCATCTGACTCGAGAATAGAAGTGGTTCTGACTCTCCTTTTGTCTTTTTAATGTATTTATGTATTAAAAAGAATGATTGGTGTTAAGCGTGTAAATAGACGGCACGACGTCTAATAAATCGATGCTAATAAATGCTGTTAAGGTCTATGAAGTTTCATCACGTCAACAGAAGACATGAGAAGAGGTGAAAAATGGGTGCAGATGGAATAAAAAGAAAAGAAGTAAATAATTTTACGAACGTTAAATCAAGGGCATTCGACGGGGCTGGGCAAGCCACAAAACTGGACCGCAGTAGGTGTACCTTAAGGGCAATTATTGGCTACCCATTTTTATTTGAAAACAGGACAATCCCTTTGAACATTTCCAACAAACTTATAATTACCAGATCACCTTTCTTGCGCTCAGATGAGATATTCGAAATTACAAACGAAAATTCATGTTAACTTTATTGTGCAGCTGAAAAAAATGAGTTTTCAAAGTGAGACCACAACCGTAATTATAGCAAAACTAGTCAGACACCCTTCTCATACCTGGGCGTGCAGTGAATAAAGAACATTTCAACAGCATAGTCAGAAATGGCGATCTCTTAATTATAGCCACTTTTACGTGGTGGTGTGACTAAAGTTGGCGTGACACAAGTTCGCATGTTTGTATTGTACGACGTTATTGACCAAATTCTGATAGTTTATTAAATTCAGAGAAGGCATCTTGACCCAGCAAAGTCTGCAAATTGGATCCTAATTGATATCCTTAATTAATAGTAATACTGAGTCAGACAAGATTATGACAGGTCAAATCGCTTTCTCATAAGGCAATCAAAGATGTCGGTCCTCCTCTCTGAAACGCCAGGGACCAAAATTGCAAAATGTTCACGGCGGTTTTTCGCGGGTATTTTGCTGGTCGCATCTACTCAGAGAGCACCAAGCACCTTTAACTAGATCCTAACGATATCCCTTCAGTTCAAATGACAGACAACGTCTCCATAATTGAAGTGGAAATATGAATTAAGTGTCTTCTCCGAGACAGAAAAAAATGAACAAGAATAGTGGTTGAACACGAATTCTCCATACCAGCTGAGATATTAAATGAATTATGCCATCCATGGATAATGGCACGCAATGTTTGACAAAAGCCTACAGGGGAAAGCCCGGAATACAAACCGCTCGTCTATACTGGACTATCTTGATGAGACAGGGTTATCGTGGAGAGATGAAGCATTTGACATTCCGGCGCAAAGAGGGAGAAAAATCGCATACACTCCAGGCCGAGTTCAAAGGGCTCGGTTAAAGTGCTTACTTCTTTTGCATTATGTATTACTGGTCGCTTTTGTAAGGCAGCGCCGCATGGCGCTGAGACATATGTAAACCCAAACTTTATATTTATTGACCCAAGATCTGAACACACGATGGTTGTGATATTTGTCACTGTTATGTGTTAGTTGTCGTTTTTTGCATATATTTAAAGAAATGCCAGGCGTGTTTTAAAAATATCAATAGAGAAGATTAATCAATGGCTTCTGAATATGATAATTACCATTGCCCCTTAACCCAATCAACGAATTCAAACTGACAAACAAGTGGCGAAGCCACAAATGCTAACTAACAACCCAACAAATGAAATCTGCCAAAAGGGTGACAACAGTCGCAATCATTTCACTTTAATCGACGTTACTGCGAAATTACATGATACACTGCTAATACTTCACACTGAAGATGGGATGCAGATCTTTTTGAAAAGAGTACTCTCTCAACAAGCGATCAGCATGGACTAGCTGCTTGCATTTTGCTGCAGGCCTAGGGGGATAATGACCTCAACTCGGCGGCTAGGCCTGCAGAGCTTTTGCACTCAAGCGAAACCAAGGGCATAATGTTCTATGGAAATGTTGACCAGTGATCCATATCTGCCGAGTACTTGTATCCCAGATGAGAAGCATCTCTTGTCATTTTAACACACTTTGGCCAGCATTCATGTGATCTTCTTTTATGACAGAATTTGCTATATAAGTCATCTAAACAAAAGACTGGGAATTTGGTCACTCTTTTTCCATTCTCATTCGTGAGTGCCATATGAAACATGTCGACAGTATCGAAGCTGGAGAGAAAATGTTATACACTACGTCAATTTGTACATGTTGTTTGCTTCACTTACATTGTTACGCTATATCATATACAACAACTACAATGTGAATTTCCTGACAAAAATTCCACAACTATAATTCCATGAAACAGCACCATGTGCATTAACACTACAATCAAAGGCATTAACGCGATGTGTGATAATGTACAATATACAAACTGGCATTTCTACTGATTTGCATTGAAACTATATGGTATATATACCTTTTACATACAAATATAAAGACTATTTAAAAGAAAGCAATATAGATCCCTTAAATTTTACTCTTATCTTAAAATACTTCAGTTTTTAACAACAGAGTGTACTTTATTATCGTCCTGTGTATTACATTTTAATAAATACCCAAGCTGTGAAATTCCTATATATGGTATTGGGATATAATTGCAGTCTACGAGAAACAATCTTAATCTACCTATAATCGCGTATGACATTTTCACGGATTCCCTTCCAACACTTAGTCTTAATGTTTCATCTGCAGGGCAAGTCAATGGCGTATCCAGTTCTTCGGTCCAGGGCAGGGGGTACAAAGACTTGGGGGGGGGGGGCTGGGGAAGAAAAAGAATGTTCATTTTTTATCTGTAAAAACGAATCCTCTGAAGAAAGAAAGGTGGTAGTACTGCTTTCGGTTCCTATTAACCCCCCCCCCCGCTGAATACGCCACTGCAGTAAGTCCTCTGCCGCACTATTAGGCTAAAAGCTAAACTCCTGTTCTCTAAGGTGGTGACTAAATATACCTATTCACGGTTCTACAGAGTAAGAGAAGCTTTATGAGACTTCTGGTCACTCTAATTAAGGCTAGAATATTAACCACAAATACCACCCGATCCGACTACCCACCACTACTTATAAGTGAGGCCTGCGCAGCAAAATAGCCGGCAAGAACTGTGATGCTAATATATTATCGTATAATTGAATAGGGTAGGCAAACTTATAAGTGAGGTCGCACTTATAAGTTTGCCTACTCTATTGCATTAATTGTGCTGTATTTTGCTGCACAGGCCTCACATACAAGTAGCGGCGATAGTCGGATAGGGTGCAAATACATATACACAAGTACAATTATATACGTACCGCAGAAGTCCATCTCTTAATACATTACTGAAACACATTCACAGAAATAACAGCCTTATATACGTTTTAAGGAAGGAAATTTTATTTAAATTGAGCAAAACTATTTTCTACACCTTTTTAACTGTTCATTTCTGACAAGACAAAATATTAAACATACACTGGTGCCTTTCATACGTGCTTATTCCACAAGTAATGATTTCCTGTGCATCGTTATTTCAAAAATTTACTAAGGAATCTTTAAGCTAAGTCTCTTTTAAGTCTCTACCAGTTTATAATCACTTCACTTGATTTCTAATTGCAAGTTGACCTCAGATTTACAAAGTGATTAGTAATGCAGACATTTTGTAAGAAGCTGCCCTTGATACACGATTCGTTATTGGTGCGTAATTTCTACATAGCTACCAAATTATGGACACAAATATCCAGGCCTACGTTTTGACCATAGTGCAGCTAACGAGGTGCAGTCTTATAAAAGTTACAAACTGCATCATACGGTGAATGTCTTCATATCTTGCTCAAGGGCTCCCCCACTGTCTGAAAACTGCAGTGCCATACATACGATTCCATATCAGATACCAAGGGGTACACACTTATCTTCTACGGGTTTGGCAGCACGGTACATGCGGAAATAAGAGTTCTGTTAGCATCTCAAATCGCCTCTTCTAATCACTGGACATCGTAGGATCCAATTTCACTCCAGGATAACGTGACAATATCCTCACGATACTGGAATAGTTACAATATACACACTCCGATAGTTCCAGTGTTGTCGAGATGACAGAAAATTAATACGACAGCCCTTACATCCAAACACCATGTGCGCAGCGTTTCCTGGACCTGTCAATACCACACTTATGATTCTGCGTACTCTGTGTTTAGTTACACTCTCAGCAGAAAACAATACATTTACAGTGGTTGTTACAAGTGCAAGTGCAAAAGAAAAAAAATTCTTAACATTTTACTGTTTGGCGCTTTCTAGATTCGTAGGTCTGAATCGAACCGTGGCTTCTCACCAGCTGACAGCTGTTCAGGCACCGAACAACCCATCTTAAAGGATTTAAATGTTCCCTAGAGCCCGTATTGGTTAACTTTTAAGGATGTATCTGTACCACTTACTTGCGTATTTGTACTTTGGCCGACCACGCAGCAAGCAATTTAAGCAAGCGGTTGAAGAAATATATCAGAAAGCACTGACCAATTAGTTGGTGAGATGAGCTGTTCATACGGGGTTTCGCGCACTACATTGCCATATTAAAACTTCAAATACAGAAATGTGCACGCAATCAAAACAGTACGATTGGGGAAATATAAAGGCATACTCTGCACGTTCAATCTGAACAATCGTCGCCATGGGTCAGGCCAAAAACAGTGATGCAGCACTGTGTTACCTAAATGATGCCAACCCACGTTTACCTGCATAAGCACACAGGCAAGGATTCCCTAATCATAATTCCGTTGACCTCAGATAGAAACCAAGGACTCGTTTAGCAAGTAGATCATGTAAATCTCTTTTTCTGTTGTGACGTGTGAACTGATAGGCCTATGTGCGCACAACAAAATTAATACTATCATTTTTGCCTAAAAATAGATAAAACGCGACTTTAACTAAGTTAAGGTGAATACAAATAATTATTTTAACAGTTTGATCAATCAACTAACTTTCAATTAAAGGCAAGCCACCTGACCGTGCAAAGCTATTGCCAGTCGAGTGGTGACAACTCCACGCAGCTTTTCAATATCACGGTTGCCTCCTATTAAGTAAACACACACCAACGTAACACCCCAGTCTGCCACGCTATACAGTGATTCCGTGCTGGAAATACAGCAAGCAACGAGAGAGGTGGCTCAAAGGTGACATTTTGCAATTATGCTCTCCTTATTCTCCGGGGTAGTGAGGCCTGAAAAGGTCCTCCCCCAAACAACGAATATCAGGTCATGATTTCGACCACCCTCGCCTTCTTAAGACACAAAATTAATTCAGTAATATCCTTTCCTCATAATTTCATACAATTTGTGCCCTAATGTTCAGTCTTACATATTCTGTTCTAAAATGTAAGTTTGTTTCAGAATACTTTTAGGTCCTTTTTCTGGTCCCTTTCTGTCAGCATCTTTTATGACAATGGGTAAACAGCTGATGCTTGGGTCTGTAGGAATCAACAGCACTCGTCTCGCACATATACATAAACCTCCTTATGCAAAAGAGGGGGAAAGATTTCACATGGAGGTATAGGGAGACCATAAGTGCGTTTCCCCTAATCTTTTCCAAGCACTAGACAGTTCCATCAGGTGCCAGATAGTGACGGAAAAGAGATCTGCCTCCCCATTTGTACGCACCGTAACTCTTTTAGGGTCCGACTGCGATTGCACATCACTGTTGGGGATTACAGTGCCATTAAATGCCTCCCCCGGTAGTAGGGCCAGATACGGAATTCCACTCGGGGTCGAGCTTTAAGTGTGTAACGCCAGCCGGTGCCTGTTACTTAAAAAGCATGAAACAAAACTGCTTCCAGGAAGTGAACAGAGAAGAGTTTGTGAAGCAGTGTCAGACAAGGTCATTGTCTTCAAGACGACTCTGCAATCCATATTTGTATTAATTGGAAGAATGAGTGTTCTTAAATAAGTGCAGGGAGTAACAAAAAAATCACTGGCTTTTTCAATCAAAAGCAACTTCGGGTCCTCCTCGTCTTTTGGGCCTCCGTGTCATAGTAAACGAGTTTGGTGGATATTCGACACTCTGGATGTGTCACTGGATTAGTAATTTGAGCGACTCCCTCTCAAATTTCGACCAAGATATAATAAAACCCATATCTATAATGGAACAGCGTTGCCCCCAATATGCTTTACGGCCTAAGTGCGGTGCTTTAAGACGCATGGAGCCTGCTCCGTGCGCATATTAGATATTATACAGTCCATCCATTGTCATCGCCAAATAAATGATGATTATGCAGGTAGTTTAGCATGGGACTAAAATTACTCTTGCTTAGTTTCTGAGGTACAAGCCAATATAGCATGTTATAATACACTGGCACACTCAACATGCATTCAAGAGAGATTTGATTTAAATTCAGACATGTGCCTGCGTATGCAAATGAAATCCTGTAACTATATAGGGACGTCCATCAACATAAGCTTGCTGTGTAAACTAGAACAGGCAGCGTTTAACTGTAAATACGTCTTAATTACATAGTGGCCAGACGCTCAGCCCAACCCAACATTGCAATCATTTCATTGCATGTGATACGTTGAAGTAAATGCACACACACTAATGAATGACACGAATTGTACAGGCTAATTGGCTGTGTTTAGCAGACGGCTTTTCTCGTTACATGCCGCGCAACCATGCAACATTACAGAAACCGCTAGTTTGACCAATACGTTTGGTACCGATAGCTCACCACTGTGTAAAGGATAATATATTACGTGGATGCAGCGTTCTTTTAAACTGAGAAAAATTACTTTGATTCAAGGTAATTTTCTCCTTCTGTCTAACCAACATCCTTGCACACTTTCTTGCGAAATGCGTTTACATGGGGGTAATAGGAGCGGAAGTGGAAAAAAAAAATCTCAGTATAAACGCTTGCATTTACGCAGACAGCTACACAGGGCTACACCTCGACTATACAATTCAGCAATAAATCTCACCTTCTTCCTTTTTTATTCACTAGGTTTCGAGTGACCGAGATAAGAGAGTAGATATCTAATGCAATTGCACGTACAAACGTGCAGGCATGCAAAAGTAAACAGCCAACTTGCAACGCTCCTCTTTTTACCGCTCTGTGTGGGAGGGGGCACATATACATAGAATGTTACTCCCAAGGTTTAGATAAGCCCCAAACATAAGAAGACACTCTGTCCGTTGATCTAGGCCAGTTGAGGATATTTAAAATGGCCCGTTGAACGGATCGTGTGCAATTTCTAGCTCATGTGTACATTTTGCCCTGGCAAGAAAATTGGCAATTGTGGGTTTTTCTTGAAAGTTTTCACTAAACGGACAGTCTGTGAGTCAGAGCGCACATTTAAGTAAAGATTGGCCTGTGTTTCACACCGTTCAATGAGTTTATCCGTAGTCGTTTGGCATTCAAATAACGAAAGTTCAGAGGACTTGTATACTTTTAAAAATCCTTAGTACTGCAGATATATATATTGTAAAACATGGCCATTATAAATGCGTATTTGTATTAAATGTAAACATGTAACCATTTCAAATTTAAACAACTTTTCGGAAATAAACGCGTTTCTGTGTTCAAAAAGAGTTATCACCCAGCGAACATGTGTTTTTGTTGTTATTTACACCCAAATGCGTCATTGTGTCTAAATTTAACAACACATAACCATGTATATTTTTAAAAAATCAACACGAAAACATGTTTAGCTTTGGACTATTACCACCACAACACGTTTATACAGTGTCACCAGAAATGGGTTCAATAGACGTTGAAACATTACCATTTGTTTTTAGGGTGTAGCATTAAACAAAATATATTTCAAATCAGATTTCGATGAGTAGATCAGAAAAACATATCAGGCGCTGTAAATGGAAAAGAAATGGCAGTTACTCCGTTTGCCAATTCTCTGACCTAAAGCACTAACCATTTTCCCATGAGATGTTTGTTTTCAATAGACCATAATTTATCCTAACATTGAGGACGTTACGATGACAAAATACTGGAATTTTGGTATATAAATCAAGCCATGCATAACACTAGACAGTAATGCTGGCTGAAGAAAATACACAAAACAATCTTTTATCTCTTCAAACTGGAGCAGAAATGCCAGTTGAAGTTTTCTGGATAGATGACCTGGACCCGAAATGCCGACATGTCATTGTGGTCGGATTGTTATCAAAACCGCTCGTGGCCGATCAAGCTGATCAATGGTTAAGCATTATTTTAAAAACACCCAAGATGGGGAATTCTGTCATATTATTTTAGGCTACATGGACGCAAGTAGCCAGACAGTCAGGTTGATTCATTCGTGCGTTGGTTATTTTTGGCGCTTCCAAACTAGCACCACTGTACACTTCTGGGCTGCAGCTTCAAAATATTTGTTACCCGAGTGCACAAAGAAACTCGGCCACGCGCAATGAATTACACTGTCGTGGGATAAGAGTTCTGGACTGCAGCAAACTTGAAATGTGACATTTCCGTCCATCTATCAAGTATGAATACTGTGCTGTTAACATCAATGTGTATAAATTATGTGGATATGTAACAGTTTACACAGACAAACCATACAGGGTGTGCATGTCAGACCTTTTCTCGCGTTTTTGCGCCTCTTTACCATGCATAGACCTATAGATCATAATATACAATGTAGGCCTAAGTACACAACGGGCTCTGAACTATTTTGATACATGAACAACAAATGGCACAACAAAAAGAAAATAAACAATAAGCAAGTTACTTTGGTGCTGGGATCAACTGAATTGACATAAAGATACATAGAAATTTCTGTACAAAGGAGCTGAATAGTCACGACATCAAGTTGAATAGTCTCTCTGGTCTGACCGAAGCTGGATAACATTTATACTGCGCAAGTCAAAATGTTGGTGTGTTATACTCACTCGCCCGTATTGGTATTCAGTATCGTGAATGAAACTGGCTACCTCACACTGTTCTATCAGTCCATTTTGTTTACAGGATTAAAGTGATCGTCAAGCTATTCTTTGTTGCAGGCGGGGTGCGAGTTGTTGTTGGAAAAGGTGTATGTCTGGACGTATATGTTCGGTGGTGTGTCTACGAACGATGTGTCGTCAGTTGCGGCGTTGCAGGCCGTGGTGGGGCTGGTCATGGTATCCTGCTGTACGGAATGAAGTCGGAGGGTGCCCCCTCGGATGTACGTGCTACTCTCCCGGTTGGATTTGTATCGGTCCAGCTTGCTGTCCTCGGGTGAGGTGCAACATGGGCACAGATCCATCAAGTTCTTTTTGAAGTTCTCCCCAATAAAGGTGTAGATGATCGGGTTGAAACAACTGTTGGTATAGCACCACAAGGAACTTATATTGAAGGCCACTGCTAGGGCGTGGCTAATTTTCTCGCTGAAAAAATGCACGAGCGACACGACGTTGAACGGCAACCAGCATGCCACGAAAACCAAGATGACAGACAACGTCAAAATCAGGACCCGCTTAGAAGCACGCTGGGCGGTGCCAGTCCCGTCGGAACGGATGCGAAGTTTACTCCCAAGAATCTTGATCAGCAGGGTGGAGTAACACAGGATGATGATCACCAAGGGTATGAGAAACGCCACTAAGAACATGTACATGATGTAGAAAAATCCGTCGTCCCATGGTGGAGACTCGACGGAACAGAAGGTGAAATTCTCCATCCAAGGGTTATCTTTGGCATTCATAAAGTACCAGGTGGGGGTGCTCAAGACGAACGAGACTAGGAACACGATCCCGCATGCTATACGGGCTGTCTTTTTGGTGCGATATCGCATGGAGGACAGCGGATACACCACGGCTAGGTACCGGTCTGCACTCATTATTGTCAGTATGTTGACAGACGCAAACTGGTTCAAGCCGTCTACTATGCCGGAAAACTTGCACAAGATTTGACCGAAAGGCCAGTTGTTGGTGGAGATTTGGTACGCCTGCAGCGGCAGGCAAAGGACAAACATGAAGTCCACAAGAGCCAGGCTTAAGATGTATACATTAGGTATGGTCCGCATGTTTGGGTATTTTAGAAGTACTATAATGACGAGCCCGTTACCAACAACGCCCGTGACGAACACCAGAGTGTATACGATTGGAATCACGTATCTCTGAAACACTAAGTTAGATTGCGGTCCTCCCTCTTCATCCGTACTGAGCGTCCCATTCAAGTCGCCATGCGAGGTGAATGATCCATTGTCGATACTCTCATCGATGCTCCCCGGGTAAGGAGTGGAGGCCAAGAGAGAATACATTTCCGATGAGGAGGAGTAGGAAGCTGGATATGAGAGGGAATTGTCTCCGATCATCCTAACACAATTCGGCTAGTTTATGCCAGGGGTGTGCGGCTCTAAAGAAGTTACTGGGTCGAGCGAACCCAACTTTTTTCCGTGCCGTTAACAAACACCACTCGGTTTCCCTAATGCTTCCGAAGTGTTGTTCAGGAGACGTCGATCTGTATTTTTTAAGGGACACCCGACGTTAAAACCTTCAGAGTCTGAATGCAGCTTCACTACTTCTCTTGTTAGTAACCCTCTCCTGACTAAGCGATCCACTGAGCGCTGCTGATATACTATTAACTACTGCGCCCGAAAAGACAAATCACTTCGATGAACGTCAACGGAGCACTGCAGAAATGTCATCAGTATCGGCACCGCCAATCACCATCGACGAGACGGTTAGCATCGAGACACAGGGCGCCACCAGGCAGACCCGCCAACAGCTCAGACATGCAATAGATATATCGCTCACACCGCCAGGATAAGACTCCGTCAATTAAAACCACACGGCGCACCTTTTCCTACTCCCTAAGCAAATGGACTTCGTGGGGTTTTCTGGCTGCGTGAGCAGGAAAGAATCGACTCCGGGAGCGGAAATCGAATTATCGAAAGCGAATCACCCAAGCCAATATCGTCGGTCTTATGATAATTGGAATTATGCAAAGAAGACAATGATGGGATATCGACCAGGAGCGCCAAGCGTACGGTGCGTCTCCATATTAACGAATGCATTTTTACATTGGATCTCTACATCAGGTATATACATTTTGTGTTCTTAAATCTGGTGATCCAGACGAAATGCAAACGTAATTGCGACAAAGTCATTAATAACTGGTCGCCAATTTATTTTTGTCTACAAACATATTCATCATCGGTATACGTTACAAATGACCACATAAAAAAGGGTATATATACTCAGGGAAACAAACAAGAAAAATAAAAACTGAACCTTAGTTAATTTAACTAGGAAAATCACCATGTGCTGCACAAGTGATTATGCATATACGGAAGTCACGTGATAGCTCTTACCATTCCTCGGTTGCCACGGACGCCAAATACAATTAGTGTGGTTTGTTTTTATGAGCAGCTGGTAACAGTGGACCGGGCGACAACATTTTAGCTGAAGAGCTCCACGTCATTAATACTGTGGCAGCTTTTTAATTGTGCAGCAAATTATTTTTGTTCAACCAGTTCGTTGAAAAGCCTGTCAACTCCCTCTTTTAATAACTCTCATCCTGAGTGAGGTGCAAAAGGAATGAGTGACGTTGCATTCGGAAAAAAACATACGGTATGTGACGTCCAAATTGAAGGAAGAGATACAATAATGTCTGTTATGTATTTAAATTACTCCCAAACGAAGCAATATATCCCATGGGGAGTAAACGTTTGGAAACACTGAGTAACTGCATGTGCAACACCTAGCATATAATACCCTCACTTCAAATCTAATTTCTAATTCAACAGTACTTAAATTTCAGCTATTCTCCCTATCTTTTTAGCAACACTCAGAATTTGTCCAAGATGAAGAGGAGAAATCGATATATATATGCATAGCCTATGTCAAACGTCTTATGTTACTGTGAAATATTTAAGTTCCCAAGTTTGACTGAGTTTACGCGCATCGATTTTGGCTGTGAATGGGTACAGCACGCTTGTTTTTAAAAACTGGCAAGCATGCTAACTGCGTAGGTCAGAGTGTGCATGTATTCCACGGTGTCACACTTGTTTTTTTTTCAGTTGTAACCTTTGGCAGCAAGAAGCCAAAATTCGCTTTCGATATTAAGCCCGAGGTAGACTACGTGCCAAAGTGATAACATCAACCCATACGTTTCGACTATGTAGTCTGCCAAACACCATTTTCAGACCAATATACATTTACACACTGACCCACATGATATCAGATTTCCTACCTACTAATTGTGCTAGCCCCAGAGGTTTATGCGCACCTGATAATGCACCACGGCCTTGATAAATGTTCCTCACCTTTTAAGTGTGGACCAGGATGAAAAAGCATCGCTGAAATAATCAGATCACGAGAGGGGTGATATTGTACACCTTTTACGCATTTTTTTCTCTTTTTTTTCAAATTCACAAGCACTTTCAATATGTTTTGTACAAGAAGCATGCTATGCATAGCGCATGCTATCTATACAGTCAGAATTGTAATTTATTCCCTAAACGGGCGCGCTTAGATAAAAGCTCTTTCTCTGTAACTCCAACACGTACTAAGCTGTCCCTGAAGTTTGTATGCTGCATATGCAAGGCAGTGGAGCACAAAATGGTAAGGGCAAGCTACCTTCTATCAGGAATTTGTAGCAATCATGTCATGTTATTCTGCCTTTGCGACAGAAGAAGATGAAGTCAAAGAGAGTGACGAAGGAGCAGCACCAGTAACCATATACACTCGATTGGCGAGAATTCTCGAGCTGGTTTTCGAACGAGTTTCACAATCACAGTGGCCGCTGGTTTGGACAAAAATTGCCCCAAGCGGTGGGATACCTCGGTGACTCAGAGAAAACATCATCTCGGAAATCAATACGCCACCGGATGCCAGGATAAATGTTTTTTGGGTCCGGTACAAGAACGCGCTAATGAAGGAAGATGTGGGGAGAAGGTTTTTTTTCTGTTTTCAATTTACGGATTGTGTTTTCGCAGCGGTGATTGGCGTTTGTTACGCCGAAGCATTCTCTTTTGGACGCACCCTCCCTAGGCTGGGGGGTTTGTAAGGGTGGCAATATTGCCCAGAAAACTGCCCCAGGGTGCAAAATATTTTCTCCGGTACTTGAATTGCCCAAAAGCCTGGGGGTTAGGGAGAGTGTCTCGACCTAAAAATGAATGTAACTGTTCAAATTTTATAAAGGAAAGGAACATAATGCACCACCAAAGCTGATTTCACCCTTTTATAATATCTAACTATGCAGTTTTGTATAAAAGATTACAAGTTCGATAATACAACGTGCACACAGATAACAAATTAGGTCTGTTTAGAAAAAAAAAAAGGGTTCAGACCTTGACTTGAATCTAGGACTGCACGAAGAAATCACACTACCCCCTGGTTAGGTTTGTGTCCTTATCCGCTGTATTTCAAGATTTCTGCCTTCAGTCGAAAGGTTCTTAGAGCGCCTGCTATTGACTCTTAATTTGAGGAATGATGATGACGTCTCAGGACATAAAAACATTTCGTCAAGTGCCTGGAGAAGGACTTAAGCGCTTTCACCCTTTTTGCCGGGAGGCATGATCACTGAAAACAAAATCTCGGCAAAAAGGACGTATCCTTGCAACTGTTTTATTTAAATGAAATATAAAGATTTCTTTCCAAGATGTTTATCAAAAATTTCCCAAGTCGTTTAATAAGTTTTTCAAAGGTTGCTTTTTTATAAAGCCTGTGTTGATTTTATAGTAAATTTTATCCGTTTTTACTAAATAAAGAGAGTGTGTTTCTTGCATTCTTTTGCCGGGAACAGTTTTTCTGCTGCGATCAAACTTCCCGGCAAAATGGTATAAGCGCCTTTGCCGGGCACACGACTATTTTTTGAAGTTGATGCCAAGACATAATTAAATGGCAGAGACGAGGTGGTCTCCCAGACCCAACCATTGCAGCCATTTTATGGGGTAAAATTTTTAGGATTCTAAGATTTCGACGTTTTATGATTCTTTGACAAAGACTCCTTTATCAGGTGGTGTTCCAAAGGCACGTGTCATTAGCCAAGACACAATGGTTGCCAGTGCGTGAACCTGAATTGAAGGGCGCCCGAGAATATCGACCATGGCAATGACAAAAGGCTGACGTGTAATGGATGATCACTTTCAGATGGCAGTCACTCTGTTTACACAGGTCATCGGGGCTGAACTCAGTTGGACAAGTTTGATGTATGAGAAACACGAATGTGAGATGGGGAGCTAGGGCTGAATAACTAGATCATGTATACCACGCAGCTGGAAGGTGGCATTTAAAACGACGGGGAAACGCCCTCTGCACACGGCAACGAAGACGATCGAGTTAGACGTAAACCGCTGGAAAACAAAGCCCACACCCTTTAACCGAAACCGCTGCAGGAGAGTTCCAATTTCAGTCCAACTCTTGGTGTGTAGCTCTCAGCTGCATTTCATTGATCTGTGATTTATTTGATGGAAAGGTTTACGTACCGTGGATTTCGAGATGATCCTCAAGTCGCTGCCATTTTTGGCGGTGCTGCGCTGTATTTTTTTCCTGTAAATTTTCACAGAATCAATAATATACTGTAAATGAATTAAAGTAATTTTTGATAGTAAATCAGTGTCATTTTATTTGCAGTAATGAACTATAAACCAACACCAATAAATTTCGTTTAATTTACATCGATTCAATGTAGCAAGCCATGATAAGCTACCGTTTTCATTGATTACAGATTTTTTCCACACGTGTATTATCCAGGTATGAGTTTTGTCGATAAAGATTGATCAATAGAGTTTAAGTATACCGGCAAGTATAATTAACAATAAGACAAAGATTTCCTTACGTTGTATCCAGAAGTCTTGATCACAGCCGTACTTCAGTTATGTTCTTGAAATGCACTTCCATGGTACAATAAATGCACTGGTAGGCCCTTCTCATGTAAAATTTGGTACTTGAAAAAGTAAGATTTTTCATTTTTCCTGTACGTTTTATAATTTAGGCAGTGAAAGGCGTTTATGTGTAAAACTTCATCCAAAAATTACAAACATTTGTCAGAGTAATGTCAAATGCTTACGACTAGAGAATGAAAAATGACAAATTAAATAACTTTATTAAGAAAGTAAAAACGCCCCTTTCGTGTCGGCATGCAAACTGAGATCAAAGCTTACACGGTAAAATATTGCTGTTAAATATACATTATTGTACTTCATTTCTTAAAAGCACAGTTAATACGTGTAACAAACACGTTTGTTTACTGTAAACATCCTTTACAGTGAGATAACGTTGTAAAATACAGAATACAAGCATATATAATAATGATATTTTACGTTGTGCATGTTGGACGTAGTTGCTGGAATTTTCCTCTGGTAATGACTGCCTACATGACTTAATTTCACACTGCAACATAAATGCAAACTAACCAAAACGCAAAACATAGACTAGACATAGGGCTCAAGAACGAGTGGGTGGGGATGAAGCACCGAAATGGTATTCCTGGTCGGAGTTGTGGGAGAGAGTAGCTGGTTCCAAATCAGCGTAAGACGGTTTGGTATGTTTCATTCATTCCTGTCCTACTCCAACGCTCTACAATCAAAACTGCAGTAGTAGGGAACAGCAACATGACTCATTCAATTAAATAAAGCGTGGCGGCTAGCCAAAGACAAGAATCACATTGACAAATTTAAGAGTTGATTTCCTGAGATGGGTAAGTGCGTTTCTGGACGAGCTCTACATGATGATATTGTACATTGACAAGAGTAAAGTTAAGGAAACTACAATGCACTACAGGGTTCTTACCTTACTGCAAGTTCGACAGTCTTTTCGGAACATTCAATCATATATTACAAATTCTGGGAAGGAGGTTTCTGCAACATCTATCTGTTATCACCGTGTGTGTGATACGTGCTGTTTACAGATAAATTGAAATGCTAAACATAACCCCGTGGCCC